TTGGTGGAGTCTGTATCAGGCTGACCATAGTGTAAATTCTAAACCGAGTTAACACTAATATTAGGACCTAGCCGCTGTATTTGTTGCTCGTAAAAAATTACATATGCAAATACCTGCACAGCAGTCTGAACGACAAAAATAAGGGAAAACACAATACTCATTTCGAAGCATAAAACAACATTTGTATACAGTATACAAATCGCAGGTCTAATTTAATCTTGGTAGTACTACGGTCACGTAGAACGGACAGCCTAATAGGAATTACTTCGACCCCATCTTGGTGTGGCGCACCCTAATTGTAGTTACCGAACTCTTACATTTTTCAAATGGGAAACGTTGAAAAACTCTCGTTTCGTATAAAAAAACACCAAGTTTAACAGGTTTTATTATAAAGCTAAGCAGGATATCTTCGGATAAAGACTTAAAAATGCACTTAACCGATATTTCATGCTAAAACAGACGCTTGTATTAATACTGGGATAGGAAAGCAAGGCAGTGCTGATAGCCCAGCTCACATAGGATTAATAGGTGTATGTCCGTCTGTCCGCAAACCGGTACGAGCCGGTAATGACAGGTAGCAAGAGCCGGTAATACTAAGAAAGAAAAGATTGATTGAAAGAATTCAATGATGGGCATAATATGTAGTGTATTAGCAAGAAATACATCGATCAAATGATTCGTCCTTCTAACATCCCTGCCAATACATCGAACATTTCAGAATTTGCCATGTTTGCACTCTTTCCTACTATTTCAAAATAAAGCTGCAAATAACAGATTAGGATGATCACCACGGTTGAAAATCCGAAAAAATCGCTTTTAAAATCTATTTTAAAAACCTGTTTATGTTTAAAAGCTACATATTCCAACCTTCGTAAAGCTCTAGTATTGTGTGGATTGATAGTGCCTTATTAGCTCTTTCGTAATATTTATTTAAAGTATACTAAGCACTCCCCAGATATTAATTTATCATAGGGCGTCCCCTGGTTCGTTTCGAAAGACCAGGGCTCGTTTCACTCCTTCCCGCTTGCACTGATTCTTCACAAGCTTCCTGGCAGCGCTTGCCTCTGTCACACTTGGGTCGTTGCGGCACTGCGCCGTATCTTCCAGTAATGGTCGTCTGTTATCGCCTCTGACTACCGCTGTTGTCATCGAGTCCTGCTCCACACCTGGCGCGGCGACTTCTTCAGCACTTCGTATACGGTCACCCCGAGCGCTTCCAAAGATTTGCGTGTCTTCTTCGAGTGCCAGTACGTCATCGTTAGTTTCATTGCTCGGTGCGTCGTACCCACCGGTACGTGCAAATCGCACTACTGCCATAACAGGTCGTACAGTAGCGACATATCGAGCAGCACGTTTCCGATCCGTCACCGCCGCATCCGTCGCAATGCACTCCATCACCACTGTCATACTGTTGGGATCTTCTTCATACCGGTCCTAGCCGCCCCGCCTCCGTTTCGTCAACTTCACACCCTGGCATACCATCCGGCTCATCAGGCCGCGCCGCTGCGAGCGACGCCCCATTGCATGCCGCCTCTCTCACTCCACCCGTGCACTTGCCCGCCTCCTTTCATGGAAAACGGCCTCTTGGCGGAAGTCGTACCCTCGCTACCGCGCACGCTATTCGTTTTCCACCGGCTTCGTGACGACCTTACGCGTTTCCAAAGACGCGTCGCTACTTGCCTTCGTGTCAGTGTCGGGGCAGCCCCTTGCAACGTGGCCTGGGCATACATTGGACCGATGGCCAATTTTCCCGCAATGGTTGCACGCCTTAGAGTCACTGCCTCCTCCCGCCGCGCTGCTGGTTCGCGACTGACCACCGGCTTGTTTCACAGTTGCCTTGAGTTTCAGTCGTTTTGGCTAAAGTTCGGACCCGTCTATACCGCCACCTCTCGCTTGCCGACGATCAGACTTCCTAGTATCCTGCCGTCTATCGAGCGGGTTTCGCCGTGCATCACTTTTCTAGGTCTCGGCCCAGAATTTGCCATTCCAAGCGCGGCCAGGAGGCACATCCCAAGTACCCGAATAAAGGTTCCATACTCCTTGCGGATTCGTGAATAATGCGACACCTTCCATTTCGTCCTCTACCACCGCCGTGATTTCCACATTTTCAGATGTCATCTCTGCTGGCAGCCCCTGTATGGCCACCATATAACGAGTCTGGGGACGCCTTCACGCCGACGGGTCGTACCGCTGTCACTGGTGCCCGCTGAGATCGTCGGCCAGGATTCTGACGGCCGCACTTAGCACGATATTGGCTGCCACCATGCCGCCGGAGCGTACGCTCCTATTTATATTCACTACTTAATCTACTGCCGTAGAGTACCGACACGCTCAGCACTTCCGCGCGTCGTAGCGCACCGACGCTTGACACGCTTCCTTGCTCGTCCAGGGCTCGCCCAAGCGCAACGACGCTTGACTCGCGACACTTCTTCTTTGTCCAGGCCAACCGAAGCGTACCGACGCTTGGCTCCATCCTCTTCATCCACGCTCCTTTGTCGTCAAGAGGCGTACGCGCGTACACCGTTCTGAGTCCTTGGTCACGCCCTATCTCTTGTGCTTTGTAGGGCAAATTCGGAACTGAGCTCCCGCTGCCCGCGCACCAACCCATCGTTAATACATCCGTCCTTCCAGTGGGTGCCTCCGCGCAGATGTTCACTGGGTCTCGTGATGCCACATTCCGTCGCCCATCGCACCCTCCGCACCAATCAACACGCCCACCCCGTCCGTAGCTCTCCATGCGACGCCTTCTCCCCCCGTTGCGACTTCCACGCCGCCATTGTATCCGCCGAGCCGCCACTCGCTGCTAGCTACCCTCGCCATCTTCCACGTCACTAACTCGTCGATGCTAGCTGTCGTACAGTACCAAAGTCGATCCGAATAATTGCCCTGTTTCAGAATCATTAAAAATTATTTGATGATACACATGATAGACGAATAGCTCTTAATTACAGCCTGCTGGATGATTACAATTTGTCGTATGTTTTTAAAGACCGAGCAGAGTTTTGCAAATGGCGCACCAGACGCCTTTATACCACGAAAAGGCTAGCAAATTAATAAATATTGATGGTGGCGCTCACATGATGTCATCTCGGTTGCAAAAAGAGGTAGTGATTTGCTACAGAAGGACTCGGTAATTACGGAGGACGTTGATACTGTTCATCACGCCACCAATAGGGTATTGCATGACTCCAGGGTGGTTGGCAACCACTGGTTGCCTGTTTGAGATATTCCTGCGTTGGATGCTGGAATTCAGAACTTATCTCAGGTAGATTGGCAGCGCTCAGTAAAACTAGTATAGTAACATTGCTACGGGTATTAAACTGACACAACTATTCAATATGTATTTTGTTTTTCTCTTTCAAAACGCGTATATGACAATTTCTTCTCGGGCCCGTTAAGGAATTAAGCGCTCACTACTTTTGCGATAACTTTTGTTCCACCGACTAAATGTAGACGGAACGAGTTTCACTGTAACGCTCTTTGTTCGCACTACCCATATGGTTATTTGAATGTATTTTGGCAAAAATGATTGCCAAAAGTATGTTTACCATTGCGGTTAGGGATGGAAATGTGTGTTACTCACACATACAAACTCTAAATTAGAGCTGACCAGCTCAGTCTATGCTACTGTCTAGAAACGTCCTAAGCCCGTAAAAGTGTTCCTCTTGAGGTGAGTTTGTTCAGCTTTTTTTAAGATATAGTGTTTCTGACATAAATATTTTGTTTTATTTTATCGTTAGGCGGCCAACTACAAAGCTAAACTCCGTGCAATATACTAGTACCCGGAGCAGCTCATTTTCATTGACGAAACCTCCAAAGATGCCACGCGTACAGTAGGTACCGTATTTCGCATGTAGAGAGATGCACCTAATGTTCACATAGCAAATCAAACCCGGATAAATATATATTCAAAAGACACAATCAAATTATGCAGGAACCTTTTTTCCTTTACAAAAAGTGTATTTACACGACGGCTACGTCAGCACTCACGTTGCCATCCTCCTCTGCGGTGAGCCATCTATCAAAATCGTGATCTTCGTCAGTACTTAATCCTACTAGCGATAGTCGCTGCAACTCCTCCACCAAAGACGCAGCCGCAAGGCAGTCGGTGTCGAGACGCAAGTCGCACTTCTTGTACCCGTAGCTTCTTCTGCACCGTGATGCCCTTGACCGTGTGTTTGGTCTGGTGGCGTCCCTTACCACCGACACGAGGTCTGCCCACTGGGCGAGGCTTCGTGCGTGACATGGCAAATGACCGACTGCCGGCGCAAATTTTGCCGCAAAGACTTGGTTGGCTTAGGAATGGTGCATCTCTCTACATGCGATTTCCTCAATTCAAGATAGCCGAATGTGATTGGTCAATATCTAGGTGCATCTCATATGA